TGCTGAATAACTTCATACTCCATTTTCCCTCCTTCAACATACTATGACAGAGCTGGCTGTCAATCTCTGGAGGCCACAAAGGCTTCAAAGTGTTTTGCTTTATTTGAATTCACAGACATTGAGCAACTGTTGGTCAGGTGTACTAATTAAAATATAATAGATACAAAGGCACTTAAGCCCCACAGATATATGATGGAATGACTCAAGAACATAGTATACTAAACATTTCAATTTAAAAAAAAATCTACACCTATCTTTAAAGTGACTGTAATCTAGAAGTTTTGCTCACTTTTAAAGACTGTATCACACTTTCAGTGTATGCAGCCCATATATAGACTGAGACTTGAGCCTTACCAGTTCAATATATACAGACCTTAAGAAATCACCACTATAATATGGTATCAAACTCCTCTATAATATGATTTGTTTGATAGGAGCATATTGTGCACACCCAGCAAATTGTAGTTTAGTCAGGAAACTACCCTTCACAAAACCACATAATATATGAACTGCTTTGGTACAGACATGTCTTTAAAATACATGACTTGCTATTTATAGATTTTCTTTTCAAGCTACAACCTAGATCATGCCAATGAATCTTATAATGCACCACCAACAACAACACATACATAGAATCATTTTAGGAAACTGGATCTTACATGACCTGTAGTAATAATATATTTCATACAACCTCTTTCATCTGACAGCAATCAGAACCTGACAGAACCATTCTGGTCTAGTGTTTAAGGCACCCAGCTAGAAACCAGGAGACTGTGAGTTCAGGTCTTGCCTTAGACATGAAAGCTGGGTGGGTGAGTTTGACCCAATCACTCTCTCTCAGCCCAAGTCACTTCATCCGGTTGTTGTTGAAGGGAAAATAGCAGGAGGAAAGAGTATTAGATAGGTTCGCCATCTTGAGTTAAAAATGAATAAAATGAATAAAATTAAAATTACATAATTATAGAAGTTATACATGGCATATCCATATATTTTCTTTCTAGGTAAGTTTATTATTCTGAATTCCACCATATTCAAGTAGCTGAATAGAAACATAATCCTGCATTTTGAATGTACTTAGAAACGCTGCTCATGATTCCAGTATAGTTGTCCAGTTCAAAGAACATCTACTACTAGCAGCTCTAAAGAGACCTGTAGTTGGCTAACAATATTTTCTCACCAAGTTGAAGGGATTTTCCTAAATGTCATCGGAGCACTTAAGGCATGTAAATGCATTTTATTATCTCTGTTGGAAAGTTATTAAAGACTTGCTCTCAGAATATAAACACATGTGAAGATTCCCACCACACAGGTACAAGTCTTACTATGTTTGGACTAGCCTAAACAAATTGAACATATCTGCACTAATACCACACATTTGGAAATTCCCATGTGAGCAAACTAAGACATAAAGAAATTTCCCACAACATTATGCTCTCATATGATCTAGGACTTCAACTCCAGGATTTTCACCCAGTACTGAAGGTTGGGAATGATATAACAAATGTACATAAAAGATAAATTGGAGAATGATAACTGCTCAAATTATTTTCTGATTACATATAATGGTACTTTATAATGTGTGTTGGTATTATGTGTTTTAAAGCATTAAATTAAATCACTGGGACTTTCAGATTAATATGTTCCATATAGGACTATGAAAATTAGTAAGTATAAATATTACTTTCTCAGCCCCATTAATGGGCAAGCCTTTGTTATCTCCTCTTTTATAAAGTTAATCTTAAAATATATTTCTAGGAAACCTTCTTATTTACATTTTAAAGCACACAATTTTCACATTTCTAGCATGTCTGTGCAAAAAAGAAATTACTCTCATTTTGTTGTGCCACAATTGAAGATTCAAACTCCATTTCTAGTTTGTGATTTTATTAAAGAGAGGATTGACTGACTGACTTTATAGGCATTTCAAAAGCAGAACTTCAAGCTGCAGCTTTGTTTACTGCAGCTGCAATAACCTGAAACCAAGATTTTAGTATGGAGCAGAAATAATAAAACAATTCTTAGGTTTTGGCGAAACAGTTTCTGAAATACAGTGTGAGATATTCTCCTGAGTTTGTCCATCATCAATGTTGCTAGCCATAATAACTGTTGCTGCTTTTAAGGTATGTAAGTATCATGTATTTTTATCAATAAGATAAAGAAAATCTCTTCTTGAGATTCTGATTGCAAAAGACACAAAAATGGCAATAACCTTGGAGTATCAAATCCAGATGCCATTTCTCTTCTAGTGTTACTACTATTATAATAATAATAATAATAATAATAATAATAATAATAATAATAATAATAATAATAATAATAATAATAATAAAAGTTGGAAGGGACCTTGGAGGTCATCTAGTAGTCCAACCCCCTGCTCAGACAGGAAACCCTATAACATTTCGGACAAATGGCTGTCCAGTTTCTTCTTAAAAACTTCCAGTGTTGGCGCATTCACCGCTTAGGGATGAAGAGCCTATTGTATGGTTTGACTAGCAACTTTCAATATCCCCTCATCATTCACCATACTTCTACTGGAACTTCAGGTGAAAAACCATAGTTTCCTACATTTTCTTAATCCACAGTATTATCTAAACAGGATTATATCATAAAAACAAATAGCTATTATTCAGTACTTCCTTAGCATTATTGTGCTAAGTATTGTAGAATCACAAAAGTAGCACAGCCTTTCCAAGAGGATTTTTATCAAGTTGATGTCACAATGGTTCTAAAAAGAAGTAACAGATAACAACAGTAAATAATTTAGCTTATAAATAATAAAAGACTGCTTCTATGCACAGAAGATGTTAGGAGTAATTGAGCAATAGAAAAATACAACCATTAAGGCAATCTATTAAATTTTGTAGACTATTTTACAAATATTCCTATGATGTTGATCACCACTTGAGGTAGTTCTTTCACCTGGCATTTACCCAATTCCATATACAATTGTCTAGAAGACTGCTGTCCAAGCATTCCATATAGATCAGTATTTCTCAATCTTGGCAGCTTGAAGATGCATGGAATTCTAGGAGTTGATGTTCACCCATATATGAAATTTGTAGACGTCCAAAAAGACTACATATGCAAAATTTATATAGGCTACACCAGGAAAGACCTGTATAACTCAACTGAAATCAATTATAAAGGATCAAGTAAGTGAGGAGAGGAGACGCTCCCATCAATTTCTGCATGAATGGAATTAACTAAAAGTAGGGGGGAAACACTATTCCTCATCAACAATGAAAGTATTAGGGTTCATCTATTTATTTGTTCTTTTACATTCTGATTTGGAGGGGGAAATTCTCCTCATTGGGAAGTGCACAATGATTTCTCATATACTGTGAAAGCATTATATAAGGATGCATGTCTCCATCACTAATATTTTTTATTACAGTAAGGTCAATGATACCTTCTAAGTGCTTTGGATTACAAATTCCCAATTCCTCACCAGTGAATATACAGGGGAGTGCTAATAGGATCTATAACATAAAACATCTGGTGTAAGCTTTGATCTAGAACAGAAGTCCCCAACCTTTTGGACACCAGGGACCGGTTATGTGGAGAGAGGTTTTTCCACGGACCAGAGTGGGCATGGTTTTGTGTGCTGCCTGCATCCCACAGATGGGGCTTTGTTTGTGTGGCCCGGTTGCTGGCATGCCGTGGCCCGGTACAGGTCCACAGACCGGGGGTTGGGGACCCGTGATCTAGAACATTAAAGAACTAAAAATCATAGCTACCAATGAAAGTTTTCTTCCCCTGGTTACAACTTAAATTTCACAAAAGATAAAATGCCATCATGGCTTATATTCTTTATAGTCCTCCTTGGCAAATTATAGTAAGCTTTTAATATCCACTGTTGCTTCTTATAAAATCAGTAGTTACACTGCAAATATGATGCTTTTAACTTGCATGAAATTTATATCTAGTGCATGATTTAACAATAAGACTTACAGTCAGACTACCAAGTGTTTCAATATGCATCATTGTCAATAATGATCCTGCATTCACTCACACTGTTGTCATAAAAAAGGTATTCCTGCAGGCCTTCAAATCAAGAATGCTACCACTGAAAGTTACTTATATATTTATACAGCCTAATATATTAAAAATTGTTAATGATGCACTTTGTTTAAAAGCAAGTTCTTTACAGGTATGCACATTGCCCAGGGCTCAGCAAATCCAACTCCAATGAAATAGCCTCAAAAATCTACTTCATATATTGTTTATTTTACAGATAATAAAACAAAGTCATCAAATATTGTAAAGTTTCAGAGCAGCACTTATTGAATGACATGTGCTCAAGATACTACTTCATTTTTCACCACAACCTTTGCTAGCTTTTCCATTTCCATAATCTGAAGGAAGAATTTCAGTTTTTTGGGTAGAAGCACCTTTACTCAGGAATAAAATCTCCCATCAGCTTTTCATCCTTCAACACTATAGTTGAAAAAAGGTATTTCAGATTTTTTGGCAGCAACATCAACATTCTTTAACACTTTCCTATCTTAAATAAACTTCAAATTATACTTGAACATAAACTATAATTGAAAATGAACTATCAACAAGATAGCACCAGAGCGCATGCTTTGATCAACATGACCTCGGCCAAATTTGTTTGGTATTTCTCTACTGTTGTAGAGTTCCCAGAAAGCCACTGAGAAAACTTTGAACAGATATTTATCTTTAAAAGCAAGGGCTTCTATCAATATAACCATGGAGACATTCTAATCTTTAACTACCTTTCATGTTTCTTCTTCCCTCCCAACTCCCAGTCCCAGAGTTATCAGAAGATGCCAATCTAGAATGTGTTTCACACCAACTTCTCAGGATACCATGTCTAATATTTATCTTTCCATGTGGACTTTTTTCCACAGGCTTATTTGAGCAATTCCTGTAAGCAGAAAATACCACCCACATGAAAAGCAATTTCTCTGTTTTTATGAAAGCACCTTATTTGATCAAGCAGTATGAAGGAAACATACTCAAGTGTCATTTATTACCTTTTAAAAGCTTCAGCAGGGTTTCTCTCACATTCCCCAGGTTGCAGGAGACTTTGAACAGCAGGATCTCTCACTTTGTCCTCGTAACCCTGAATCAGTCCACTCTGACAGATCTGGGCAACTAAGCCTCTAATAAACCTCCCCACACAAAGAGTATCAGAGTCCTGTGCCCTACAAAAATGGAAGGCTAGTGCTTGGTGATGTAAACTTCTTTGTAAGTTTGCAGGTGAGCTTGGCCATAATAATTCAGTGCAAACTGCTGTCTTGCCACTACCAGGACCTCCTACTAACAATACACCCCAGGATGCACCTTTGCCAGGGACAACACAAGCATTAGACCCAGAATTCAGCACAATGGATGGTTTGTTGGCAGAGCTATTGCTGAAGCTTGTCTTTTCCTGGAGGCAGTGCTGTAGTTTGTGAAAAACCCACTCTCTGCAATAAAACTGTTTCCCCTGCAGCAAGCTGGTCTGAGCCATTTTACAGACTACCTTCTGAGACAGGTCCAAATCAAGGGCACATCTTAGGTTTCACTGAAGACAACAGATTCTTAAATCCAAACCAAAGTGCCCGTTGCATGGAATTATGCCACAGGACAGAATGCAATCCACAAATCTGTTCATGCCTTCACATAATAGTCAGTGGCATCTTTGGGCAAGAAGCACCTTTCAATCCAAATATGTCTGATCTTGTTTTGCTGGAAATCCTCTTTAGAGATATAGCTATGTTTGTAGCAAAGCTCAATGATGCATCATTTAAAAGGTTGCACAATGCCATGACTATAGTTGCTACTTACAATGCTGCATGCTATTATATGAGATTAATGCATCCAAAGTAGAGATAACATGAAGAATTCTCAAGTTTCTTCTCTAAATTCCAGTCATTCCCAAATATATGTATGTGGCTTTTAGATTTCCCCAGAATAGCATCTTCTAAAAACAGATCGTTTTTTTCCCATCAGCAAATGCAGCATATATTGCAAACATATGGCTGTGCCTCATTTGATATGTAGATTTCCAAAGTTCATACAAGCTCTGTAGTCCAAATCCGTCCTTCAAATCACGGTGCTTCATGAACCCAGTAAAGTAGAAATAGAAGAACTTTTCTTTCCAGTGCTTTCTTTGTCATCCCGTGTTTCAGTAAACCTCTTTTCAATTGCAACCGTTAAACCACAGGATTTCTGTCCTGGCCTGAGAATAAAAGTACCAAACATTTGTTAGCTTATACATAACAGTGAACTTCATTTTGCATAACAGAGCCACTCGTCTGTATAATGTATAAACAGGATGAGCCCCCCAAATCTATTTCCTGCATACAGGCTAGCAACACAGAGACACTGGAATGATAGATAACATATTATCCTGTGGTTAAGATAGCCAGCAAAAAAAAAATTATAAAGAAACAAAGCAGTCTCAGTCTCTCTCTCTCTCTCTCTCCCAAATAAGAAGCCTTAAAGCTTTGCTGATACCTAGAATTACATTCCTGTCTTCTATCTGGACCGCAAGTGACCTTGAAACCATGAAAAGCCCCGTCTCATTCTGAAAACAGACCTCCGGCTTCGAATCGCCCAGGAGACCGTGCCATCTGAACCCCCCCTCTGTACCTGCTTCTCTCCCTTTATACCTCAGGACTTCCCCTACAGTTTTTTCTTAGCCTTCTTTGTTCAAAGCCTGGAAGCCTTTAGGAAACACCGGAGCTTTCCAAAGCCACGTTTGAACTTACCGTCCGGCTCCCCCTCCCGCTCCCTTCGCATTGTCGCTCTGCAGCGTGCCGTTTCTGTCATCTGTTCGGCTGCTCCCTACAGCAAGGCTTTCTTTTCATTCGTCCCCAGGCTTTTGTCTCCCAAGCCTCAGTCACACGACTAGTCTTCGCGTTTCAGCCGATAAAACTGGCAGGACGCAACGAGCCCCTCTCCTCCTGCTCTCGACATGAAAACGCTTTTTGGCCACTGGAGAAGAACAAGGAGCAAGGGCGGGGGAGGAGGAGGAGGAGGCCGAGAAAAAAGTGGACTCACTCGAGCGGCCAAAGCGCGGCCCGTCTGCTTCTCCGAGCCACCACTCGACACAGACACACGCCCTGTCCCCATCCCCCCCCCGCCTGCCTGCCTCCTCCTCCTCCTCCTCCCCCAGCGCCAGCACAACGGAGACCATACAGAGGGGGACACGCATACAGGGCTCGCCAGCAGAAAGAGCCGGACGGGCGCAGAGAAACGACCCCTCTGTTCCGCCTGGCCTCCGATCGATACACTTGGCTCTCGGTCTTCGGGTGAGGAGGGGAGGAGGTAGAAGAGGAGCCAAGAGGCCAGAGCTTCTTCGTTCTCCTCCTCCACCCCCTCCCCAACTTCGATCACACGCTTTCTCTTCTTTCTAGTTCGCGAGATTCCGGATCGCAAACACGCCCCACAACTGACTAGATCTCCCTTCCGGGTCCCGATGCTCGTTTCTTCACCCTCCCTCCTCCGCCCTTTCTCCCCGCTTAATACCGGGGCTAAACCGAGACGAAGCGAGGGACCCTGGCCAACAAAGCTTGGAAGCGACGTCCCCGTTCAGATTTGCTCACGCCTGGCGCTGAAGGCGCTAAGAAGCGAGCGAGCGGGCAGGGGCTGCAGGGACAAGCAGGAAAACCCTCGCGCAAGACAAAGCAGGGAAGAGCTCGGGCGCCCGCAGAAGCCAGCAAATGTGCCGGACGCAGAAGGCGCGCGCCGACGAGGCCAACGCAGAGACACGGCGGTGCCTTCGGCGCTCTGCACAGCTCTGGCGTCCGGGCAGGAAAATGACAGGAAGGGCCGGGCTGGAGAGTTTTGGAAAAATAGCAAGTAGCAAAGCCCTACTCGGGGAAGACAGCCCAAGGTAAATCTCTGGCGCCACTTCAGCCCTCTTCCTTCCTGACGCTGCCTTTGCACCGAGATAAAGGCACATATTTGTAGCTCAGGCTTGAAATGTCTTTGCAGAACCGAAGGCGCAGCGATCTATCTTCAGCCCTGTCCCGACCTCAAGAGCGGAACAGGCTGGTGGACTGGCTCGCCGGCTGTACGCGGCCCCTTCCCTGGCGCTCCCTCCACGCCCAGCCTGACCAACTGAGGTTGGCAAAGGAGCTTTTTTTCTTGGCAGCGGCGGCCCGCCGTTCAATTACCTCCCCCGCTTCCTCTTCTTTGGACCAGGCGGCACTAGCGGCAGCAGCAGCTGCTGGCTCTTCCCCTCCCGCGCTCAAGCCGCTCCCCCAAGGCGGGCGAAGGCTTAGACAGGCGTGGCCGCCGCTCTTCCCTCGCCGAAAGCCTAGCGATGCCCCGCAGCGCCGGCCCTCCCGAGCCCAACGGTTCCAACGCCGAACACCCTCCGCCCCCTTTTCTCTTCCGTCCCTCTTTTAACCTGCCTTATTAGCCCGCCTCCTGCTCGGCTCCGAAGCCACGCCTTCCGCTGTTGGCCACACCTCTTTCGTTCCGGGTGGAAGCTGTTTTGTGTTTGTCCTGGGGCTGGGAAGGGGTGTGGTTAGGCCGCGAAGATGCTACTTTGCATCACCTGAAGGGGAAAAAAAGCCCCGCGGCCAGGTCAGAAAGCTACCGGCTGAGTAACCACTCTGCCTTTGCTCGTTTGTGTTCGCTAGGCTTCAGCCACCCTTTTCATTCTCTTTGCTATTTTTACTTCTTTGTGAATTTGTAGCAGGACTTTTTTTTTTTTTTTTTTACTACCCGACTTGCTCAGCAGTAAGCAGCAGCAAAACATTCTACATCATAACACAGAGATGGGTTTTTATATTGGAACATTTTTTAAAAAAAGAGAGGGGGGGAGAAAGAGAAGGAGGGAAAATGTGAAAAAATAAGATTCAGGCTTACAAATTAATTTTCCTAGAAGCTCTTTTTGACATAGCAATAAAGTTGCACTCTTAACATGAAAATGATGGAAAGGCACGGTCTAGTAGTGGTTAAGGGACCAGACTAAAAACCAGGAAACTGGGACTTTTAATCCTACTTTAGACATGAAAGCCAGCTGGGTCACTTTGGGACAGTCACTCTCACTCAGCCCAATTCACCACACAGGATTCTTGTTGTGTAGAAAATAGAATAGAAAACTTCTGGCTATTTGAATTTGACAATTTCCACCACCATTCCTATCCATATTCAAAACAAAAATGGAGGTGAGCATGCTTAGTTGTTCAACTGTTTTGGTGAAAAGTAGGAGTGATTTGACAATAAATTTATTTTGGACTTTGTGGGAAGAATCCAGAGAAAGAAATATTTTGGGGAATATTAAAAAGGCAGAATATATTTCTCCAAAGAAATAATGGAGAAGATCTTAAAAAAGACAGAAACCTCTCCCCCCCAGCCAGACCTCTCCCCCCCAGCCAGAAACCAACTTTTAAAAATGCAGATGTGATAATCCTTGCAGAATGGTTTAACCAAGAAGCTAGAAGCTGATGAGCTAAGAAAGACAAAGACCCCTAAAATCTACATTCCCCACCCAAACTCTAAGGACAGGAAACATAGTAGGATTAACCCACCAATACCAAAAGGGCACACTCAGACTCAGGTCAAAGTACATGACACAGGAAATACAAAGCTTCAAAATGGTTCCGCCCCAGGCGCCTGATGGACCCCGAGAGGTTCCAGACGGAGCTTGGGCCAATACGCGAGACCTTGACCCGCGGCTCGACTGAGGACCTGGTGGCCGCCTGGAATGGTGCAGCCGCGGTGGCCCTGGACTGGGTCGTGCCTTTGCGGCCTCTCACCCGATGCCGGACTACCTTGGCTCCTTGGTTCTCCGAGGACCTGAGGGTGATGAAGCGTCGGAAGAGATGCCTAGAGGGTAATTGGAGGACCACCCACTCCGAATCTGACCGGACACTGGTAAAGTCCCATTTAAGGACTTACCTAGTGGCGATAAGAGCGGCGAAACGAAACTATTTCTCAGCTCTTATCGCGTCTGCAGGTAACCAATCTGCCGTCCTGTTTAGGGTGTCCCACTCCCTCCTTCATCAGAGAGTCCGGGACGTCCCTCTGCAGGGTCAGGCGGAGGAATTTGGGTGCTACCTGCATGACAAAATCGATCAGATCCGGGCCGGGTTAGCCTCTGATTGGACTAGTTCAGACGGGCCAACGGAGGCAGGTGTTGATTCCACTTTTTGGGAAGAGTTTGATCCTGTGACTCCCGAGGACATGGACAGGATACTGGGACGGCTGAACACCACCACATGTTTACTGGACCCGTGTCCCTCCTGGCTGGTACTGTCCTCCCAGGAGGTTACACGAGGCTGGCTCCAGGGAATCGTCAGCGCTTCTTTGAGTGAGGGGTTCTTGCCAGCCGCTTTGAAAGAGGCGGTGGTGAGGCCCCTCCTCCAGAAGCCCTCCCTGGACCCAACTGTTTTGGCCAACTACCGTCCTGTCTCCAACCTTCGCTTTCTTGCGAAGTTTGTTGAGAGTGTGGTGGCACGACAGCTCCCTCAGCACCTGGAAGAAACTGTCTATCTAGACTCGCGCCAGTCCGGCTTCCGGCCTGGGCACAGCACAGAAACAGCATTGGTCGCGTTGG